ATGATAAGTGTCTAGTTCTTTCTCTCTATTACATCATTTTATTGAGGAGTATATGTTGCGGAGACCTCATGCTTGATTCCAACTTCATCACAATAAGATTCAATATTTGTGTTGTCAAACTCTTTTCCATTATCGCTTCTTATCTTCTTGAGCTTCACTTCAAACTCATTTTGTGCTCTCTTAGTAATCTTCTTGAAACATGATGCAACTTTAGTCTTGTTATGAAGGAAGAACACCCAAGTATATCTAGAGTAGTCATCAACAATCACAAGACCATAGAGATTTCCTCCCAAACTCTTATAAGTTGTTGGTCCAAATAGGTCCATGTGAAAAAGCTCTAGCACTCTTGTTGTTGACATGAAAGCTTTTGTAGGATGAGTGTTTGCAACTTGCTTGCCGGCTTGACATGCACTACAAAGCTTGTCCTTCTTAAATTTCACATCCTCCAACCCTCTCACCAATTCATTCTTCATAAGCTTCTTGAGTGAGCTCATCCCAACATGAGCAAGTCTTCTATGCCATAGCCACCCAAGTGATGTTTTGGTGAATAGACATGTCTTCAAGTTAGCATCTTCAGAGGTGAAATCCACTATATATAGGTTGTTGTATCTAAATCCCTGGAATATAACTTGATCATCATCTTTCTTAGATACCACTTCATTCTCGATAAACAAGCATTGAAACCAAGATCACACAATTGACCAACGGATAGTAAGTTGAAGCTCAAAGAAGCAACATATAGCACATTTGAGATTGAATGATCATTTGATATTGCCACTTTGCCCAATTCTTTAACTTTGTCCTTTGAATTATCACCAAATGTAATTCTTTCTTGACCATCAACTTCTTCATCTAGTGAGGTGAACATACGAGGATCACCGGTCATATGTTGAGTGCAACCACTATTAATTACCCAATGACTTTCACCAGTCTTGTAGTTCACCTACACACAAGAGATCAAGCTTGTTTAGGGACCCAAACTTGTTGAGGGCCCATGACTTTCTCAACAAGTGACTTTGCAACCCAAATTTTCTTAGGCCTATTCTTGTTGGGAGGTCCTAAAAACATAACTTTTATTTTTCCACTAGAGTCCTTCCTAAGCATGTAATGAGCATTGACAGCAAAGGGTCTAGCATGCTTGGACAAGGGTTGTGGTGGTGGAGCTTGACACTCATGGGCAAAGTGACCTTCTTGTCCACACTCAAAACACCTCTTTGGCTTTGGCTTTGACTTGTGTTGTTGGTGGTGTTGAGCTTGAGCCTTCTTCTCTTGATGTGCCAAGTACCCAATGCCACTTCTATCCATCTTCATTACGGTATTCATGAGTAGCTCACTTTGAAGATGTTGACCTCTTGTGAACTTGCTCAAGTCGGTCTTGAGATGTTCTTTTTTCAACTTGAGCTTCTTGTTCTCTTCTTTGAGTTTATCATGATTTTTCTCTATCTTGAGTTTCTTGTTCTCTTCTTTAAGCTTCTCATTTTTAAGAGCTAGATCACAATCATGGTCAAGATTCTCTATCACGATGGTATTGATGGTTGATAGCTTTTCAAGATCTTTCTTGAGCTTCTCATTCTCATTCTTGATCTTGACATACTCATCATAATTGTTGAACTCAACCACTTGCTTGCCTTTACTACTAGGACCTTGCTCAATGCTCTCAATGATCAAATCATCACATGATGTAGCTATATTAATCTTAACAACATGGTTAGTAGCATCATGTGGCTCATTGGATAATAGCTCAAGAGAAACAACACGATTATCATGATTGATCTTGAGATTTGTATATTCTTCTTTTAGCATAATATAGCTAGTGATGAGCTCATTATATATCCTCTCAAGTTTATCATGTTTTTCTTTAAGCTCCTTCTTAGAAGATTTGAGCTCCTTGAGTTTGGATGACATAGCTTCATTTTCTTTTCTAAGCTCAACACTACCTTTTTCTGCTAAGTCACATTTAGCTAAAAGTAAGTCATTCTTAAGTTCTAGTTTTTCATTTTTAGCTCTTGTCTTTCTAATAATTTTAGTATATTGGTTAAGCAACTTGACAAGATCATCATAGGAAGGTGATTCAAATTTATCATCACTATCACTATCATCATTGCTAGCATGATCATCACCACTACTATCATCATCATTTGATATCTTTCGTTCACCCTTGGCCATAAGGCATAGGTGTGTAGAGGATGATGGCGGTGGTGTCGGTGAAGATAGTGAAGAGTCAATCACAATAGCGGCCACCTTCTCGTTCTCACTATCATCATCGGATGAGAAACTTAATGAATCAATATCCGTAAGCCAATCACCGACGATGTATGCCTTGCCATTTTCTTCTTGTGTAACTCCTTGCCATCCTTCTTCTTGTATGGCTTGTTTTTCTTCTTCTCATCATCATCTTCATTACTTGAGTCATCTTTTTTACCCTTGTACTTCTTGTATTTGTCTTTCTTTGGCTTGGGGCATTGATATGCTAGATGACCAAGTTCTCCACAATTATAGCAATCCATCTCTGAGATGGGCTTCCTTCTATTGCTAGTGAAGAATTTCTTCTTCTTGCCATCAAATTTGATACCGTTCTTGTTGAGCTTCTTAAGCATCTTGGTGGTTCTTCTCACCATGAGAGCAAGACTTGAATCATCACTTGAGCTTTCATAATCAACTCTTGCTTTGCCCTTCTCTTGGCTAGCTTTGAATGCCAAGTCTTTCTTCTTCGTGGAAGAAGATCCATCTTATGGTGTGATGTGCATATACATCTCATGTGCGTTGATCTTTCCCAATATTTGAGTTGGTGTAGCGGTGGAAATATCACCTTGATGAAGCACGGTCACAATATGCCCATATTTGTCAATGGAGAGGACACTCAAGATCTTTCTTACAACATCGGATGGTTGCATTTATGTGAGTCTAAGCCCATTGACTCCTCTACAAGAACATTCAAACGTGAGTATATTTCATTAGCACTTTCTTTCGGAAGCATCTCAAAGGAATTAAGCTTTTTCATAACAAGATGATAGCGTTCCTCAAGCTCACTCTTTATTCCCTCATGGAGCGCACAAATGTCCGACCATAGTGCATGGGCGTCCTTGTGGTTCCGCACACGGTTAAACATATCTTTGCAAAGACCTCTAAAGATGGTGTTTCTAGCCTTTGCATTCTATTTTTCATAATTTACTTCATCGCCTTGAAGGTTGGCGGGATCCTTAGGTTTTGGAAAGCCTTGAGAGGTGGCTCTAAGTATTCCAACATCTAAGGCTTCTAAGTAAGCCTCCATGTGGATTTTCTAATAAGGAAAATCATCTCCCTCAAAGATAGGAGGAGGTCCATCCCCGTGGGATATCTTTCTCTAGCCAGTTAAGCCTAATTTAGCGTGCACGAGGCTCCGATACCAATTGAAAGGATCAAGATGCCCAAGAGGGGGGTGAATTAGGCTAATTCTAAAATTCTTTGCAATAATTAAATCCTACACTTATCCCACTTCACCCCTTGTGCATAGAATGTGTTCATATTGTTCTATCGCACAAAAGTTTTGCACCCTAGGTTCCAATCCTACTCTAGCATGGTAATTCTAAGAATGTAAAGACAAGAAATGAATTGCTCAAATATAAATGCTTAAAGTAAAGAGAGGAGAAGGAACGCGGCGATGTTTTTCTGAGGTATCGGAGAGTCGCCACTCCCCACTAGTCCTCGTTGGAGCACCCGCGCAAGGGTGTAGCTCCTCCTTGATCCGCGCAAGGATCAAGTGCTCTCTATGGGCTGATTCTTCGACACTCCATCGTGATGAATCACCCACAACCGCTCACAACTTGAGTTGGGCCACCCACAAGCTCCGCCGGATGATCACCAAACCCCCGATCACCACCAAACCGTCTAGGTGATGGCGATCACCAAGAGTAACAAGCACAAACTCTCACTTGACCACGACAAGCCTAATGAGAAGGATGGATGCACACTTGCTACTCTCCTTGCACTAATGAGGCCTTAATCTTAGATTCTCAAATCTCAATCACCTCACTAGGCTCTTGCTCTCCATTGCACTCTCAAGGGTGTTTCTCAGCTGAACAAATGGGCAAGAGAGTTCCCTTGGATGAGTGGAGTAAGTATTTATACCCCCTCTTTCAAAATATAATGTTTGGAGGTTGAGTCATCACTCTGCGGGGTGACCGAACGCTCCGGTTAGGCTGACCGGACGCTCTGGTCAGTTATCCCCGCCACTGTGTCAAAAAGAGCCGTTAAGTTTTGACCGGACTCTGACCTGCGTCCAGTCAGCACTAACCGAACGCGTTCGGTCACGAAAACTGCTATCTAGAGCCTTACTTATGTTGACCGAACGCTGGCACCCAGAGTCCGGTCACTTCGCTGTTCAGCGTCCGGTCAGTTACCGGATCCTAACAAACGTCTGGTCAGCAATGACCGGATGCGTCCGATCAGGAATCTCCCTCTCTGGAACCTCTCTGGAGTTGACCAGACGCAGGCACACAGCGTCCAGTCATTTTTCACTCAGCGTCCGGTCGCAACCAGACGGCTCCAGTTGATCAAATGAACTGACCGGACTCACCCTTCAACGTCCGATCACAACCAGACCAGCGTCCAGGTCAGTCATTTGACCCTCCATTCACTTCCAACTCGAAATCATATGTGAATGAGGTTTGCTCCAATTGATCTTAGGGCTACTTCGGAGGTACCTAGTGCTAGATTTGATAAGTGTGCACCACACCTAACTTCATAGACTCACCTAGGTCAAGCTACTAGTCCATACCCCCCTTAATAGTACGGCCAAAGGAAAAACAAAGTCCTAAAATACTCTAAGTGTCTCTTTAACACCAAACGACACTTAGAACTAGTCCATCCTTAACTTTGTCGTCCATCCTTTGAAAACCAAAACGATTTCCATCGTAGGGGCATGACAACCATGATTGCCCAATCAATTGCCATTACCATGACCTAACTTAATTGTCTCTGCAAAACACACGTTAGTCATAGTAATCTTGTATTGTCATTAATCACCGAAACCCAACTAGGGGCCTAGATGCTTTCAGCACTATTCTAGCAAAATTCCCTAGTGTCATCTTCTTATCAGCTCTGAAAGATTTCAAGTACTTATCAACAAACCAATTGGATGTGCACCTCTTTAATACCCACTTCTTGTGGCAGTTGTGCTCACCACAAAAAGTCTTTATCATCATTCCATGAGCCCTCTTATCATCTGAAGCATACAAATACCAAGGACATCCTTTCTCACATATGGCTCGCAACCTCTTCTTCTCATTCATTGGCATCTTAATATCCACCCTGTGCTTCAAACTATATTCTGTAATAGCCTTCCTTAGCAACTCTACAGACTCAAAGATCATTCCTACTTTGAACACTAGATTGACCAAGTCTTCATGCTTGAATGACTTGAAATTGAATGTGACATTGTTTTCAACATCAGAGTTTGGAACCATTAACCCTTCATCATCAGTTGAGAAATCCTCATCACCTCTGCCCACCATAACTTGAGCTCTCTTTCCCTTGGGTACCTTCTTTCCCATGGCAACTCCTTGATCAACCATTTGGTCATCAACATTATCCATGAATAGATCATCATCTTCATTAGCCAGATCATAATCACTATCTTCAAAATCTGAGTCATCTTCACTAGAACTATACTGCACATCATCTTCATAAGTTGCATCCACATCATCAGGAATATATATTATGTTCCTGTTCTGCACTCCCACTCTACAGGGGCTCATAACCTTGGGCATTGATCTTATTGGGTTTGCCACAATGTCATCCCAATCCAAGCTAGCTAGAGAGTCATCATGATAAGCATACAGAACAAATGTCCTCACTCTACCTACTAGAGAGGCCATCACCAAGGTATCTGAGTCACTAAAAATCAACCTAATGCCATCTGAAATGTCTTTCCCAGATAAAAGCCAGTACATCTTCAAATTTGGGTTCTTCGGGTAGTAAAGCATGAACAACAACTCATTAAACCACACTGGAGACCAAGTGTCTGCCTCACAATGATCAAAGCAGTGAACTTTCCCACCAACATAGGCCCGATTAACTCCTTTTCCAGTAAAAAACCTCTATGATGCATCTCAACCGTGAACTCACCACTACCAGCTCCTAAAATTGGAAAGATTGCTAACAAATTAGGGAAGATTCATACAAACCAAGCCATCTAACATTATTGGGAGAAATAACAATTCAATCCAAAACCCTAGACGAACCAAAATCAGAAAAGATGATAAACATTTGCCATTCCGATTCACAACACCATCTAACTACATTCAATGCGAAGACCAAGATTACCACGAAATGAGCTCAAGGAGATTCACTCACCATACACAGGTCGGCCTTGCCCTTTTGGCCGCAACACCGACACCATCGTGCAGATTCACCGCGACCACCGTGAGAATCCGCACACCACCGGGTTTCGGCGTCACTCCTCCGTCGTGTTGGCCTCCTAACTCGCCGGCGATTGCCTCCACTAACGGCCGCCCCACGTGCTCCCCGCGAGTTCGTGTGTCCGTGACGGCGGACTCGAAGAGGTGAAGTACTGGGAACTGCATATGAAACGAAGTTAGGGGCCTCTCTGCTTATTTGCACGCCCCAAACTAGGCTTACGCGCGGCTCACGTGCGCTTGGACCCAGTCAGCGCCACGCTGTCCATGCCACGTCGGCCAAAACCTTGCTTCCGATGAGTTATGAACCTAAGTGGCATACTTAAACAACATTAGGGTGCTAGAAGTACGATTTGAGAGTTTGTGGACCTAAGTGGCACCCCAAGACAAGTTTAAGGGCCTACGATGCATTTCACTCTTTCCATTTGTACGGAGTATAGATTTAAGGTACTCCGTATATGTTCACCCTGTTTGCTTATGCTGAAATTTGGCTTATGCCAATACTTATGCTGAAATGTTGTGAGAGAAAAACACTGTTCCATAGCTAAAAAGTAGCTCAAGCGATATTTTCATTCCTTTTGTCCTTTAAAAGTTGGCAAATTATAGCCTATCATTTTTCTACAATGGTACTCTTGGAAGCTGACAGGTTGCACTCCTTAAATTCACGCTCTCCATGGCAACGAGAAAACGTCGATGATCCTCGTGTAAACATTTGACCAATTCTGCACCTTTTTCCTGAACAATCGTGTATTCGTGTGGGAAAGGAAAGCTAGGAGAGGGAAAATTATTGCTACGGATGGACCTACGGTTGGTCACGGGTCAGAAATGTAGAGCCTCGTCCACCTCAGAATCTCAAATCAACATGACAATGATTAAGATGTTGTAATGCCGTTCATTATCCATGGATCAAACAAACATCGGTGGCTTGTCATAAAGATTGCCAGCGCCGGAAGTACAAGTGCTGACTGACCTGACTGACTCGGTTCTAGAACTAGAAGAGAAGTATCCTCATCAGTCTCGGTCGATCCCTTCCCGCAGTCCTCACCAAAAAATCGGTTGATGGATAATCGAGTTCCAAACAACTGGAGCAGAACCACCCTGTGTCCCTGTCACAGTAGTACTCATACAAACTGTGATGATATGCCGGTCAGATAGCATGACATGTATAGAAACTGAAACTAATGATATGCCGGTCAGATGGCATCACATGTATACATGCTGCACCACAACTGGAACCCCAATATAGCAGTAGCAGCGAAGTATGACTCGTGTCAACCACATCATCACGTAACACGATGGCTGAACTTAAGTATAGATGAGTAACACAAATCAACACATATATCTGTCTAGAGCATAGAAGCAAGCAGTCATAAAGGTACGTGGCTTTACCAGAGAAATTATTGGCCATGATCCCTGATTCCCTGAGTTGCATGCACGAGCATATAAAATTATACTTTATCAGCTTCAAACAATAGCTGGTAACGGCTGAAAGCGTACCGAATCACAACAGATACAGGCTACGCTACAAATATGAAATATGTGGGGAAGCGTTCCTCTCTAACCAGCCGGGTATCGAAGCAACTCTAAAAACAATTCACCATGTTGCCTCCGTAGCATGGACCTGACGGCCCAAGTACAGTTCCTGAAGCTCTACTTGTCAAGAAATTAAGTTTGGACATGTGCGAAGAACTGAAGATACTACAAAATTCTGCCCCAAAAAAAACTGCTCCAAAGATAAGGATTAGTTCGCGATATTCTGATCTCTGTTAAGCAAACAGACTGGCTATGTGATGATCACTGTCCATTACTCGTTCGTGTTGCTCATATATTTGCATGTAGGTTTCTGAGAGAGCTACCATTTGAGGAAGAGTCTCAGTAACATGGAGGTCCTGCATCTCGTACCTGAGGAGGAGAATATCAAATGAATAAATCGAGGTTACTGAGACTCAAAAAAACAATTCCGTTTCGATACTGCTGAGGAACGTACCAGGCCTCTTCTGATTTCCGCTGTACAAATACTCTGTAGCATCCTTCGCCTGGTTTGCCATCATGGACAATGTTTGCTATGAGGTCATACTTTGAACGTAGCTTATGATTCTCTTTCGGCTTAGGTAATGGAATGTAGTCCTTCAATTCCAAGTTCTTCACAGGAAAATTAACTGTCACGTTGAGTATTAAAACATGTATTAGAATGAGTCACCAGGGAGCATGACAGCAAATTTAATCAAGCAAGCACAAAATCTCACCTAGAGTAGGGTTTTTCTCGACAAAGAAATTATTTTTGGTAAACCTTCGCATATGAAGGATCAGATACTTCGGCAGTCTAGTGACTCGGTACCTCATTCGGGCAATGGATGGTCGGACAACCTCCGTCACAGTCTCACCATCAAACTTCTTCAGTATGTTAAATAATGGTACCTGAACAGTATGATAGATTTAGAATCCAAATATACCCAGTCACAGAAAACTAGACCCCCCACACAGAAAAAAAAAAACTCAAAGTTGGGGGAAAACATGGAAAGAAATGACAAGGTTTCAAATGGCGTGTCAGATTGAAAATTTTTGCTTCAGTAAATGTGATTCACACAACGTGCTCAGTTAGGCGCCATAGAGGTGATAAGTCATTTGACCCAGAAAGTCCTTAAAAATCATGGTATTTAACAATGACACCAACTGTTTCAATATGAAACATAGACACAAATATATTCTGTAACTGTAAGCATATCTATGCTCCATGGAAATTTATGTGGGCTGGAAAGGATCAGATTAACATGTACAACTCCCACACTTCCAAATTAAACTTTGGTTTTGTCCTAAGTCAAACTTCTTTAACGTTGACTATTTATAGAAAAATCCACCAACATCCAGAACATCAGATTTGTTTCATTAGATTCTTCATGCAATATGTTTTGATAAACAATTTATTTGAACTTGTAGATATCAATATATTTTTCTAAAAACATGGTAAAAGCCAGAGAAGTTTGACTTAGGACAAAGTCAAAGTGAACTATAATTTGGAAGTGAGGGAATACTAAGCAAGTAAGCATTACTCAAGCAAGACTATAAGAGCAAGCATATTCTTTATCCTAAACAATAGCAAAACTAAAAGCATGGGGTTACAGTGAAGTTAAGTTTGAAGTGCTAAGCCATAACATTGGTGTAACAGATATCGTCTTACAGCTGTTCACAGGTGGTCTTATATGTAAAATGTAAGGAATTTGAAGAAACATCCTCCAAAATAGTTCTAGCAATAAGAAAGGGGAACCAAGCTTCACTGATACGTGGATGCTCAAGCACACTGTGATGTTGTTTATTTTGTTCTCACATCAATCCCAGAAATCTTAGCAGCCCACATCATCCTAGAGTCTTACTATAAGCATCGAAGCTAAACATCCACATGAGATCATAACCAGAAAACTACATAGGTGCTTGTGAAAGACATACCTGTGGAATGATATTTTTCTCCATGGCATCTTTGAAAAGAGGTGGAGGTGGCAGGTCAAGACCGAGCATCAGGAATGGGACCTTAGATGTTTCAGTAACAATTCCATCTGCAGTTCCAACCACTGAACCTACCTCACCATTCAGCTCATCGCCATCCTCTCTTTTTTCCATTATATGCTTCCTATGAACCTCCTTAACAACTTCAAGTTCTCCCTGCAGGAACAGTTCCAATGTGACCTGATAAGTTGCTGAAATGATATCAATTACACTGTTGATGTCCACTTGTCCAGAAAAGCTAACCTGAAAGCAATCATGTATTATGCTTCTGTTTTTCTTCTTTGAGCTTTTTAGTTTCGCATGCAGTGTGTTTAAGAGCCATGACATAAATTCCACTGGATCTGACTGTACACCAATCTGAAACCGTTTGTCGCTGGCCTTCATAACTGCTTGCAGAAACTCATGTGGACTAACCTGAACAAAAAACAAAGGGTTGTTGCATTATTGGTTTACAGACAAATCTTCATACAAAGGGATAGCATGAAACATGCCACAAACTGATTTAGCAAACCAACCTGGCCCTTGAAGTTCCTAGCATGCCAAATCTTACGTGTCAATTCCCCAAAACGATGAACCAATGGTGATTTGCTATGCTGATAGTTTTCAGGGATTAGAAAGAAATTTCTCAGAGGCGTAACTCTCATTAATGACTGTATTGTGACATTCACAAAATCAGTCTCCTTGATGTTGTTAAGACCCACCTGCACAAAGCAGTGATTATTTAGATAAGATAAAAAAGCAATAAAGCATTAATAGCAAAATACCTAATTCCAATGTGCAATAAAAGTATACTCTTGAAATTAGATTTAGTGTTATTCATATAACAGAATAGTAAAATCCAACAGATCAACTGAAGAAAAAACTGCTATGATCAGTTAAGTGGACAGTGTTTGTATGTAAGTCCACAACATATTCAGGCTTCACATAGTAGTGCAAAAAATCTTTAAAAATGCATTTGCTAGCTGTTTTGTGATACACCAACAAACAATTTTCCCAGACCATAAAAAAAATTTGAAAGAATTGATTAAAGAAGATTCATTCCACAGCATAGCAAAGAAAGTGCAGCAGGTAAGCCAAACAAGATCATCTAAGGGCCCTTGTGTCAATTAAGTATACATACCATTCCAGGTAGATAATTGGAGCCATCAAGTGCTCTAGACCACTGCTTATTTTTGTCAAGATTTAGAACCTGCTCTTTAGTGAACCTGCCAGAACAGTATGCCAATTAACAGCCTTCACTGCCAAAGCCATCAAGTGATGTCGGAATGTAACATCAGAAGCTATGGAGAATCACCTTGGATTGAGAACATGCCGAATATCTTCTAACGATGGATCATTAATCTCATATCCATCAGGAAGACAGTAAGCCTTCTCGGTTTGAAGATTAATGAACACGTGATGGCCTGCTTCAAGACTGTGTGTATATGCATGAGATTTTAACCCTCTTCCTTGGAAATATTTTCCACAGACCAAGCACGCATACACATTCAAATTTGACAAGGAGATTGAACAGAACTTCTCAAAATCAAAATCAAGAACCTGCAAAGCAGCACAAAATGAACTCAGCTGTAAATAACCATGAGAAGTAATGAAAAATGTTACAGGGACCAGATCAACAAAGAAATAAGCCAGCAGAGGACAGATTGTAGATAGATAACATACACACAATAAGGGCCTGTTTCGATACCAGGACCAATGTTTAGTCACCTAAAATTTCCAAACAAGTGAACTAATAGGTGGACTGATTTTTAGTCCACAACCCAACTAACAACTAATTCACTAGCTGGCAAAGGGGACCTAAAGTGGACTAATAGCTACTAGTCCATGTATCCAAACACAGGACTAAACTTTAGTCACCTAACAATTAGTTGTAGCAACTAGAGGACTAAAAATTAGTCCTGGGTGATCCAAACAGGCCTTAAGAGTAGTCATGCGTAATTGATATAATTATACTATGCTGGACAGTCTACCAAGATGAACAGGCATCACTGATAAATATCAGGAGCTATTAGGATGTCACTCGGCCATAATACTGGAATTCACTTTGAAGATACTGATAAACTATATTGTAAGTTATGATTGTAGGAATACATGTTAATCAGCCATTTCAGATCACATAGATTATATACATTTCTAGCAAAATATCAGCAGTTTTTTATTCGACAGTAACTAGTACTTCGTGTATCTGAGGTCACTCTTGTACTGTGAACAAAATGGTGTGTTTACGCCAGCAAATTCGCACCAAGGCACACGAAATTGACATATGAATGCAATTGCACCTGTCTGTTCACAGTGTCGAGGTACGGGCAGTCCCGGCGCAGCTCAACCTGCCTGGGCCTCCTCTCCGGAGCCCTCCTCACGTCGTCCTCCTCATCGTCATCCTCCTCGTCCTCCTCCCCCTCAGGCTCCACCGCGCGTCGGCCATTCCCGTGGCCCCTGGCCGCTTCGTCTTCCTCCTCGTCCTCGTAGGTAGCCAGCCCCAGCAGGGACGCGCCCTCCGCGCGCGGCCGCTTCTTGGCGGCGCCCCCGTCGGAGAGGTCCTCCCCTTCTTCCTCGCGGTCGCGTTTCCGCGTCGGGGATGACTGCTCGTCTGCGGCCATCGGCCGCGGTCGCAGGGGGGTCTAGGGTTTGGGGCGTGGGAGCGGCGTGGGCGGAGGCGGGCTCGGAGGATGGATGGAGGATGGATGCGTGGGTTAGGGTTTCGTGAGGACGATGGAGGGGCGTAGATCGCCGCGGCAAGGGCGGTGCCACGACCAGCGCGAGTGTGCGCTCTGACTCTCTGAGAAGACGTTTCCCTAAAGTTCAGCCACCGGCACACCTTCGTCTCCACACGAACTCACCAAATATTCCGTTTATACTGAAATGATGCGTACGCTAAAATACTGTAACGAAAAAATATTGTTCTTCGGCGAAAAAGCAGTTCTGAATAAGCTCAAGTTTTATTGAATTACGGCGTGCTTTGCGGTGAAAATTTTGAGACCTTTAAGGTTTTGACACAACTCACGTTTACAATTATTGTCATAAAGCCATATCAAATGATGGTCTTAAAAAAGTTAATTATAAAAAGCTTAGAGGAATCAGAGACTTTTCTTTTGCTATGGTTTTTAAGACGTCGCTTAGGTGTTGATGCGTGCTCTAGTAGACACTGCAAGGTGCAGGGTGTCATAGGGTTTTAGTTACACCATATTATTTAGACGTCGTCTAGCATGCGCATAGACATCCAGACGTATCTAACCGCTACACAACGTCGCAATACCTTTAAAAACCATATTTTTTACTATCGAAGCAAAGAAAACATGATTTTATGCTTCTTTGTTATAAATTATAGCTCTTTTTAGTCTTCTCTTGAGTAAAAAATATCTAGTTTTCACTAAATTTAAAAGGTAGACGTATCGGCATCTATAATATCAAATTAATCTGTTTTATTGAATTATTCATGAAGATGTATTGATAGCACATTTTTGAAATTATAGGTAAGATGGTCAAGGTCAAAAAAAATAAACTTGAAGAAATCTCAAGATTGTGTAATTAATTTTAAAAAATAACTATAGTTTGAAATATAGGGAGTATTCGACAAATTCTTTTTGAAGCACAGATTGGTCCGTTTTCGTTGTTTCCTTTTAGGGCTACACTAGGGCTCGGACGTCCAAACACGACGTCCGTCAGAATGCAGCTTCAGCATCTACGTCCGACGCAGCGCCTGCGCCCGCGCGCCATCATGCTCCTAATGCGGCATCTGTTCGGACAGAGCTCCCTTACCCGCGCCCGACGAAGCCCAAAGTTGACAATGGCGTAGGCGAGCAGGCCGTTGATTCAGGCGCAGCGCGATGAGGACCCACTCTATGGCCACATACGTGCGTGGACATGCCCTTGCGTGTCCTCCGGTGGAGTGTTGCCGCTAGCTTACTCGTCGACGCCGCCATGGCTCCAGCGCTAGCTCTCTCTTCCTCGCTCGACAACCCTACATCCAGATCTACTTTGCAACACTCAGATAAACACAATTGTAACATACGTCCGAAACTGACAAAATATTTGGAACATGCACTTGCTACATAGCCATTGCAATATATATGACACATCCAAATATAACACTTGCAACACACGTCTCAAACAGATGAAACATTTTGAGCAAACTATTGCAACATATGTCTATAGCCAGTACAACATGTGTAATCTCTGGATCTACCTATGCAACATCCATATGAAACACTTACAACATGCCTCTAAAACATCTGAAACACCTGAAATATATGTTTGCAACACGCGTTTTTAGCGCAACATGACACGGGCGCCACGGCAAAATGACATGGTGGAGACGGTCATTGTAGGTGGATGGATGCACCCCAACGGTGTAGACGGATGGATCGCCACGGCGGCACGCGGCGAGGTGGAGGCATCAAATCCGAGCGAACGGGGGCGGACGGTGTGGGCAGATGGAGACCTGTGGCGGTCATGGCGCAAGGCGTGGGCAGGGCAAGGGAGCAAGGTACGGGAGTGAGCGAGCGGTGCGGGCGAGAGTAAGTGAAGGAAGACGTCCGAACGGACTGACGCGTCCTACAGTGAGCATTAGCGTTCCTTTTACGGCCTTGTAGTTTGATTAGAGCCGTACGTTGTCCAAGTCCTAAAAAAAACTCTGCAAACACTTTGCGTTTCCTTTTGGTTGGACGGTACAAATACAAAACCTTAAGACGCGCAGAAGTATGCCTCGGCTACGTGCTCTCTATCGTTAGCCCGGCCCATGAGGACATACGCTGCAGCACTAAAAGTTCTACGGCCCATAGAGCTTGATAGGCTACGGCACCTAGAGGTTTGATGGGCCTTACGATTAGGGAAGCCGGCAAATTCTGTGCTATACGTTGCATGTGGATCCATACGCATCGGTCCGCCCCACACGAAGCTCTTGAAAAGCGTAGGAACCAAACGGCCAAACGTCCCAGTCCCAGCTTGAACGACGACGACCCCGTTCCATCCATCCAGCCATATTCATCGCCACAAGTCGTTCTCGTTCTCGTGGACAGCTGAAATGACGACGATCTGGTCAGTGTGACCGCGGGGAACACGGAGCGACACCAGGCGACGGAGCCTAGGCAGCACACCGCAAGTTTTCTGAACCCGATGGAATGGAACCCGATGTGCCTGGGGATCCCGTCCAGGCTGCGGGCACAGGAGCAGCAGGCAGCCGATGGAGGCGGCGCGATTTCCTCTCGCCGGTCGGAGCGCGTAAAGAAACCACGACCGGGCCGCGACGGCCGGCCGGGGCGCCCCGTGCGTGGCGAACAGAGGGCAGCGACAGCCACGCCGTGCGGCAGCGGCCCTCGCGCCCCCCGCGCCTCGGATCTGCTTATCGATCGAGACGTAGTACACTGTACACAGCAGTTGCACGCACGGTCGCCTAGCTACGACGCACCCATAAATCAAGTTATAATTATAATCCCACCCGGCACTGAAAGATAGGCGGATTTGATTAACTGATGGCGGCACTAATCCCCCTGCTCGTGATATAATTACGTGCTGACTCCTAGACGCATCGGATGGATTATATTATTAGGGCAGTCCCAATAAAAAAACTAGTAGTTTCTATAACATAGAATACCGCACCAAAAAAGTATTGTTTTTCAACCCATAGTTTCTATGAGTAATAATTATTTTCTCTTTCTCTCTCCAACTCTATCTTCTTCCTCCAATGGGAGTGTGACACGAGCTCCCTAGAAACTGGTGGTTTCTCTCCAATGGCGATTTCATGGTTTCTTGGTGCATTGGGTCAAGAGTAGACCTGATTTCTTCATGAGGAAATCATTTTTATGATTTTTGCTCTCTTTCTTTATTAATTACGTTGCCATGTCAGCGTTTTACCTACGTGGTAAGTCATTTAATGAGAATAAAAACCATCATCAATACGCCATTAGGACTGCCCTTAGGGCTTCGCAGCCCAGGTTGACCTGCCATTTACGTCGTCTGTGTTTTGTTTATTTACTACTCCTACCAAGGATCTGTTTTTTTTTTTGAAACCTACCAAGGATCTGTTTAATACAAGGTTTAATCGATAGCTAGCTAAAAATTAATTTAAATTAGCTCTAGAGCGCTATTGATTCCGTAATTCTATTTCAAAAAAGAGTGAGACTCGGTCTCCGTATGCCATCCCACGCTACCGAAGCAGACTCGCCAACCCTAAACGTAGAGGCTAATTTTTTTGACAAGTTTTCAATCAATCGTTAGCCAACTAGCCAGTCAACCATAGTATTTTTTTCATGAACAGGGTTGTACCCGCTAGTTAACCATAGCTAATTTAAGCTAGTTTTTAGCCCCAATCAATATCCAAATATGTGTATCAATCAGGTCCTAAGAACGATGGAATACCTAAAATGATACGTGAAGGCTTTTCAACCGTTTTCTTTAATTATTAATCGTGCGTTGTATATATAGACTTTAAAAAAAAGATTATTAACCCTGCTGCTTATTATTATGCTCATACTGAAATCATATAAAGTTTCATTTTGCTGGGATTTTCCAACTTCGTCCGCCACGGAGTTTGATCATCTGCAACTGCAAGCAAAAAAAAAAGCTGGTCCAAAGTCGTTGATAGCTAACAAAAACGCAGAACACATACCTCATCAGATATTCAGATCCTAGCAACCGCGTTGTGACAGACCAGGTAAATTCTTTTGTTTGAATGATTGAATCAATCGCAGGGAGTCTATCGCTGAGTCGCTGTCGTCCTAGCTTGTTGGGGACAAAACAACGGTGCATGTATGCGCTCGTCATGTTTATTTTTTCAAAGAAAAAATTATACTCTGCTAGTACCAGTAAGTACTGGTGTTGTTTTTCTTTGCCCAGTTGACGGAGCTTTTGTTTGTTGGTCGCCACATTGAAAAACAGCATCGAACACGTACGCCAGAAAGTTTCAAAGAAAAAATTATACTCTGCTAGTACCAGTAAGTACTGGTGTTGTTTTTCTTTGCCCAGTTGACGGAGCTTTTGTTTGTTGGTCGCCACATTGAAAAACAGCAGCGACCACGTACGCCAGAAAGTAGAAGTCGCGTTGCGAGTACACGCCGTAGCCTCGTTTGTATAATACTCTCCTAACTGCTAATTAATACAGAGTACTAATGTATGTCTGTATACGGTATACGAATGTCAAATTCTTCCACGTCATCGTGACGACGGCCGGCCGGCCCGGTGGTACTTGGTGTATATATACACGATACAAATTTCCACAGCGGTTTCTATTGGTAAACGGCCGTGGACCGTGGTACATGGCTGCATCAAGGACTTTTTGGCCATGATCACTTGATGAAGTTTGTTTGCCAAGTCAATCTCTTTGCCATTTTCCACTGCACGTCAATGAAATGCATAAAAATACACATACACGGCTCCATTCATTGTATACGCGTATAGATAGTCATATATACAGACAGACAGACACGACCGGAGTCGCGTGATTAAGGTGAGAGAGTGAGACTAATCATCATCGCCTCATTTTCTTTGTTTTTCTCGTCGTTTGAGAGGGAGGAGAGGCGGACTAGTTCATCAGGTTGGAATATACTGACGACGGCCGGGTCACTGCTACGTGTCTACTTGATGACGATGATGTTAGAATTTG